TAGGTGCATCAAATGTATGTATAATATGTCTTTCTACTTATAGACTGTGACGAGAGAGAGAGCTGTTTCAGAGAAGAGAATTGTACTACTCTAAGTCCGTCAGGTACAGGGTAAAGAGAGAGAGATTACTGCTACTCAGAGAAAGGATTCTGAACCCAATACGCTAACCCATATACTGTATATATATATATATACAGTATATAACAGATTGTGGCCATATATATATATACATGTATATATAATAGATTGTGATCATATACGTATACAGTATATGTTATACATACATAAGAGATTGTGACCTAGTACAGTTCTAGTTGCATTGCGTTATTCTTACCGTTGTGTAGCATTATCATCATGATTGATATTAATGTACCGGATTAAGTAGATCAGTAGGCAATAATATTACAATGTACGCTGCACAGTACAATAAAATATTAGTGTAAATTATAAATTTATTTTGATGCCACTTGTAGTATTTCTTCTTCTTCTACCGACATCTTATAAGCAATACTGTTTTATATCTTCCCATAGATGAGGAAATTGACTTTGAATGACATCGGCTGTTCCAGAATCCATATCCCTCATATCAAAGCCAGGCGCGACCGTTTCGCTAATGAAACTATAATCGTAGTCCCCTTCTTCTAAATACATGGCCTTCCAGTATCCAGCTTTCACCAATACTTGTGGCCTCTGACCACGAGCGATATCATTTCCAAGTACGTGTTTTTCCATTTTGCCATTTTCATCGATGCAAAGAATACAAAGTGGTGATCCGGAGTGAAAGAAATGGATTGCATTAGTATGTAATCTTAAAAATCGAGTCATAGGCCGTTCCTTGGTGTGCAAAACGTAAATGCATGAGGAAATACTCCTCTGACATCCTTCTTTTTGAGTATCAATGACGCCGTCGTCTCGAAAAGTTTCCTTGAAGAACGACCCTTGTTGATGAGGTATTAGCTGTAGCGTTTGTATGATTTCATCAGCAGTTAAAGGCATGATTGGATCGTTGAGCAAGTCAATTCTATTTCACCCTTCACAAATTCAAATAATAATTTGTAGAGCAGTAGCAGTGAAATGGAGTAGCAAGTGGGCAGCCAGCAAGGTTAAGGGATACATCCTACAGTACAGTGCTGAGTACTGTACTCAAAAATCAAGCATTTCACCGATCACACTGACCATGATCTATTTGTATTTTACTCTTTTGGAGAAGAAAAATGAACTCAAAGTATAGAATATCTATTGCTAAATTGCATCTCAGATGGTAGATAAAGGTCTCAAACTCTCAATTCTAAACTAAAATTGGCTGTGAAATAAGTTATAGCTGGTCAAAGTAGGACCGTTATTAGCCCCAGAAAGGCGCCATTTACAGTATTTTCTTGATGCGTCTTTTACAGTCGATTTCCAAGTACAGTACAGTATCTAAGAAGCGAGCCCATACAGTACACTGAGTACAGTACAGTAAGTGCTCGAGTAAAATTAGAATTAAAAGCACCTTGCAATGCAGATATTTGAACTCATTGACGAAGCTAAAATTAGCTGTGAAATAAGTTCTAGCTAGTCAAAGTAGGGTCGTTATTACCTCCAGAAAGGCGCCATTTACAGTATTTTCTTGATGTGTCTTTTGCAGTCGATTCATAGTACAGTACAGTACAGTATCTAAGAAGGGAGCCCATACAGTACAGTACAGTAAGTGCTCGAGTAAAATTAAAAGCACCTTGCAATGCCGACACTTGAACTCATTTACTATCTTCTGCTATATTGACTGTGTCGATGAAGTAACAAATTCCTATTATTTGTTGGAAAAGGAAGAGTAAATTACAAATGTACAGTACAGTACTGGACACTGTTTTGTAACCTTGACGAAGATTCAATATTGATTTGATATTCATTTACTGTAGGCTTAGGTGCAGAGCAGTATACTGACTACCAAGTCGAAGAGAGCTAAAAGGCAAATCCTCCAAGGTTGGTTAGGCTGTAAAATAATTCTTTTTACTCATGATTTGGCGTTGATTTACTTTGGAAATGACAGCAGATCAACTCGATTTGCTGCCATCAAGTTCATTGACTTACCAAATCCATTCTTAAGCCTGCGCAGATTGGCCTAAAAACTTTGCTAGAACGCAGCCGCTGAGGTTCAGACAACCAGACGTTCAGACATAAACCTTGACGAATATTTAATAATAATATTGATTTGAAATTCATCTACTTTGGATAGAAATTATCAAGGATCAACTTGCAATTGCTGTGGTTAAGTTAACTAAATCAATCATTCAAATTTACTTTCTTCTGCACAAGGATTAATGTAGTGTACAGTAGACCGGAACAGACACTTACAGTAGCTGATGTACAGACCTGCTCA